AMYTTYMWTKRCATATTTTAAAGTCTTACCTTGTATTCCTAGTTTGTTTCAGTGTATCTTTGTAGCTTTTGGAGAAAGACTTATTTGATTCGAAGTTCCAAATGACCTTCACATATATAATATCATTGAATGATACGATAGGATATTGACTTACCGGACGTAAGTGAACAGGGCGTGGCTACTCAAATTACARYTAATCCACCTACAGTGMAGTTCAAAGGGTGAGGCATATAGGTTTCTTTTTAATTGAACGTTCTAGTTCCTCAAACTACAGCAAGTGACTTTGTCCTTTTTCTAGTATATTAGAACAACTTAGTTCCATTGAAACAAATTCAATGCAAAGTCTTCACCTTTTCTAGTTCTTAGCTTATGTAGATACGTAGCTGTAGCGTGCGTAATCGTACGATTTTAAGTATGACGTTATGGGTTGTATTACGTGGTACCTTTCGAAAGTTGTAGACGAAAATTGCGAAATTCAGTTAAAGGRAGCATACTCGCTAAAAGAAAACAATTAAACAAGTTCCCAAGCTCAAGTAGGCTAATGAAGCACAGGTCAAGAAATCCGAGCAAACCAGTCTAAACCTGTCTGCTACGSTATTTCACAGAAATGCATATCTAAAAGAACTTTTTCGGAAATGACTAAAAGTTTATTCAGATAATGAGGTCGAGTGGGTGTCCGTACTTGCCCCATCTCTGCTCAGTCCATTGTCAACACAGAAGTACCAAGCCATATAAGACTGGTTGCGGAGGAGGAAATGGTCTTCGATTTTCTCATTTCACATGCGTTTATTTTTGGGCTTTAGGATTTCCGTAGTTTCAACATTAAGCATTAGAATTCACAACGTTGTTTTCTTGTTCTTCTTTTCTCGACTAAGGGACGGTCCAATTTTTTTGGAGAGAAGGGGGGGGGAGGTGTTGAGGGGGGAGAATGTAAAAAAAAATACCGCGTATGAGSGACTCTCGCCTGATTAAAAATTCAATGGTCCGTCCCTTACATTCATCCCGGTAACTCGTGGAAAGTCATTTCCTGACAATGTGCGTCAGTATTTTAACCAGGTCGTTAATTTAGGTTTTTTTTGACCAAAAAAGAACATCAGGAAGGGTTTCTACATACGTGGGAAAATGGCTGTTACGTATGAGAGCTTAATTATGGGGCAGAAAAAAAAAGCAAAAGAGAAATTCAACAAAATTTGGTTAATAGAAACTTCGTAACGGAGACCGTTCAGAACTTCAGCAATACACATTAACTGTAAGAGTTTGATTTCAATTTTCATTATATTATATTATATTATATTATATTATACAGCCTTTTGCACAAATTATGAGACATTTTTATATATATAAATATACCTAACCAAATATCAAAAACACCCAACAAATTATGGGATACCGTCGCTGATATTTTGTCTGTAACAACCTGATGCTAGGCAATCATGACAAAATATAATAGAGATATACCATAATTTCTGGGGTGTTTTTGATATTTGGTTAGGTATATTTATATATATAAAAATGTCTCATAATTTGTGCAAAAGGCTGTATTATATTATATTACTATGCAAAGAAATTCATACAGTATGCTATAAAATGACTCTTAAATCAGGTTTTGCAGGAGGAATTAATGAAAAAAGCACCTAAGCCACAAAGAGCCAATCAGTAACTCCCTGCTCTGCTTTTTAGAGGACGAAATTAGTTAATGTATTTGGTAGGGTTTGTTATTAGACATCCAAGAGCATTCGTTGGGATAAAGTTAAATCATTTGTTTATATCAGGGGGCAGAGACACGGCTTACCGGCAAAATTTTCTTTTCGCTCGAAAAATTTTATAAAAGAAATATAAAACGACCGCTTGTGTCTCTGTCCTCTGATATAAACACGGTGGGAGTTAAAAAACACTCGAGAAGCAAGAGAAACACTCGCTACGCTCGTGTTCCTAAGCTTGCTTCTCTCGTTTTTCTCTCGTGCCTACAATACTAACAAAGAGTCGTTCTCACTGCTCTCTTTGAGGACAAACATAGTTGGTGTTAGTGGGTTAGGGTTGTTCTTAAACCAATATTCAAAAGCATTCGTWAGGTTAAAGTTTAATCATTTTCTAATTATCTTTGAAATAGTGATCATACTAGACATCTTGCATGCATTTATTRTGTTCAGGGTTCATCAGCAAAGGCTGGCTCACTGAAATCAGGATCACCCGGTATTACTGTGGGATAGGTTATTGTAGTAGATTCGTGTTCCGTCGTTGTAAATTCGGGTTCTGTCGTCGTATCCTCGGGTTCATTCGTTGTAGGTTCGGGTTCTGTTGTCGTATCCTCGGGTTCCGTCGTTGTAGTCTCGGGCTTCGCCGTCATGAGGTCGGGCTCAGTTGTTGTGGTAACAGATGAAGTCGTTGTTTCACCCGTTGCCGGAAGAGTCCCTTCGGGAGGTGTAGTAGTTTCCGGTGTCCATGTTGTTGGCATAGAAGTCGTTGGTTGGGATCCTGGAGATGTTGTTTCAAAATGGAGTTACAAACAAGTAGTTAAATACATTTTCAAGTCGTAGTTGGGCATTCATTGGTGATTTGTGAATTGTTCACTATAAGGCAAGTGACATTTGTGGCTGACTGAGGTGCAAATAGGGTTTTAGTATTACCTAGTCTGCAAATCGTTCCAATATGAGTCTTTTTCGCGTAGAATCCTTTAGGACACTTCTTAACGCATTTATCGGTGAATCCGTGCAGTAAGTGATAGCCAGGCTTGCAAGAATCGCAGTGATGATGCAGTCCACTGTGGCCTTTCCTTGGACATCTTTGACAATTGGCAACGAAACACACTACAAAATAGAAATTGTGGTCTTAGTCAGTTCGATATTGACTATATCAAGAGGCTTCAATATATATTACTTTCCAGTTCAGCTCTTAATCCACTGACGTTTTATTCATCAGTGTTATATCAGAACTGATGTTTAATTCATCAGTGTTATACCATTACTGATGTTTCATTCATCAATGTTATAACAGTACTGATGTCTAATTCATCAGTGTTATTACAGTACTGATGTTTAATTCATCAGTGTTATATCAATACTGAGGTTTGTATTCATCTGTTACCTGTTTCAAAACACTCTCAAGCATTCGTAAAAGGCCTCACTTTTTCCTTTGGTAATATATTGTTTTTTCTGAGTGTTAGAGCTTTGCTCTTACTCAGAAAACAAGAATCTATACACGTATATTGTGTTTACCTTGGCGACACACAGAACCTTTCCCTTTCACAATTTCCTTCTTGTATCCTCGTGGACAACGCGCGAGACACCGCGTGGAGATAATAGATCCCCAGGAGATACGAGTAAAKAGAGAAAGCCTTTTTGYGCACGACTCGCATTTTAATGTCGAACTACATTTCGTGCATCCTCTCTTGCATTCTTGACAAAAAGAATAAACGATTAATTATTGATAATTGTAATTTTCAAAGAGTATTGAGCCGTAAGGATATAACACGTAACACTTACATACGTATACATGTATTATCAAAAACTACTAGTACAAATACTTACGTAAGGACATACGTATACGTATAAACCTATGCGCATGTGAATACGCATGTGCGGTAGTTATATTAACAAGTAGTTATGTAATGTTTAAAATTCCGACAATGAGGACTGGACGGGGTTTCAAGTCCGCGCAATTAGTTCCAGTCCGAGGCTAATTGCAAGGACTTGAAATCCCGTCCAGTCCGAATTGGAGGACTTTGAACGACTTCTCATACTCATTAATTATTCAGGAGGGGAAAATAGCGAAGGAAATACATATAACAGAAATATATTGATTTATTGCATCTCCACCAAGTTTTTCAGTTTTCATAATTTTGAATAAAGAAGCACCGTTTGTTGTTTTCCAATTCCCGAACGGCTCTCTGAAACAAAAGCTTTTCAAATTGTCTTTGTTTGCTTTTCATGGCATTCCTAATGAGTCTAATTCATAAGTTTTATAAGTATGTTATCTTCCAAGGAATCGCATCAGAAACTCGGTGGTGTAATGATATAAGACGGCGCATAAAGAGTGGACAGTTCGGGATCGTTTCGTGAGGGAGTCATTTATCAAAGACCTTTTTTCACTAAATTAATTCTATATTAAGTTGATTATTTCTAATACTTTGATTATCATTAGCTAGTAGTAGTTAGAAAAAGCTAGAAGTAACTAGAAACAAGGTAGAAGTAACTGGAAATAAGATAGAAGTAGCTGGAAACAAGGTAGAAGTAACTGGAAATAAGCTAGAATGCAAGGTAGGAGTACTTCCTCTGGTATCCAGTTACTGCACGTGGTACAAATTACAATCAGGGATTGGCTGGATACCTCATGAATAATTAATGAGTATGAGAAATTATATTAACAAGTCGAAACGTTGATGTTACGCACGTATAAATCACTTACGTAAAGACACACGTATGCGTATATGCCTATACGCCTGTTAATACGCGTGTACGCTATCTTATAGCTATATAGCTATATTATTGGTCGTTATACTAGCACGTATAAATCTGATTTCTTTCAATGAAATAACTTACTGCTGCAGAAGTTGTTTCCCATTGGATAATAGCCAGCAGGGCATTKTTTGTGGCATTCGGTGTCCCCTTTKTTGTGRATCATGTACCATCCTTTCTTACACATACTGCAGTAATAGTCCACACAGCCTTCTACAAATAAATGACAAAGGAGTGATAGTGAAAAAAAATAGACATACATTTCCTAAAAAATCATTTCAAGAGTCAGACAAGACAACCGTCAAGAAAAACTATWATTCTCAGTTACATCATCGCCGACATATTGGATGAAAATAACCTTATAAGCTTCGATGATGTACACTTCGGAACCTGACAATATTTTATTCATAGTTGTATAAATATCTGGGCTGGATTGTTCAGTTCAAAGATTGAATTAAGGTTAGCTTCATAGGTGTTCTAAGGGTTAACCCAGGATTAGCGCTATTGAAACCTTAAACAATCCGGCCATGGACTGCAATTTTTTTGTAAAGAGTTTTTCAAATGGGTCTTTACCTGGGGTAGCTTTCTTACAAAAACCTCCTCTTTTGCTGTTCTGGCCTTKGTATCCGCGAGGACACTTCTTCACACATTGTGCTCTGATGTCATATTCACCGGTGTGCTTGTACCAACCCTTTTCACATCGTTTGCATGATTTCAGCCATGACATCCCTGAACAGACTTTGCAGTTCGGTATTTGTCTGCAAGCTATCATGACGTGATATTTAAGTATAATAATAATAACATCGTTAATGATAGAGCGGGTTCGGGGGAGGGTATCCTGTTAATGATATAGCGGGTGCGGGGGAAGCTGTTCTGGACGGAAAGTGATTTGGTTTGAACTTTAAACTTGGTTTCTGGGTATTGATYGGTCTCACAAATTCAGCATAGCTATTCTATAATATTATTAGCGTCTTTCATCTGGTCCACTTGTAAATTCGCTCTTGAATTTCTAGTCGGTCATTATTTTCGTAATTAAACCATTCCTTGTAATTTGAGACATTTATTCCTTTTCTATCCCATYCATTCGCGTATTCATTCATTGATTCATTAATCAATCGTTGGACTTTTTATTCACCATAAACACAAGACGTGTTGACATTAGGTACTGTTCGTTGTGAGTRTCGGCAAGAGGGGGTTGGTGTGTATGMAGRARGGGGAGGGGKTATATTTTTATSGACTTACTTTTTTTATTCGGTTTTCTTTTAATGCACGTCATGAATATTGACTTCTTATATCCCTTTTTACATCGCTTACACAGACCAAAGAAGCACCTCGCGCATCCCTTGGCACAACCTTAAAGTGTTAAATAACATAGACATTAATTGTAGAAATATCTTTTTTCTAAAGCTATTCAGGTGATTGACGCGTTTTTCTCGTTTGTGACAAATTGAGTTACAAAGTGATTTAACAGCAGAGCTACCGTTGTTGGGTTGCGTAAATCTTTACAGCCTAAGCGCGCGTATACTTAGGTATCCATTAGCCTCCTCCGCAGGCATCACTAAGAATCACGGGCTTCCTGTCTTTTTGAGGAGTCAAAAGAGGGAGAATTTTTGCTATCTCGTCACTAGTCCCTAACGGCCAAAATGACCGTTACAAAGGAAGCCCAAAGGAGGAAAAAAGAGTTGCCTGTGGAGGAGGCTAGGTATCCATCAATATTTAGGATTTCACGTGGGTTTTATGACACTAAACAGAAAGATTTCCCATACGTGTAAACACTTGATGACATCATTGAAATGTACTTCCTGCGTCGTGATAATAATAACATTGTGACACGGATTATGAGCAATGAAGGTCAAGGACATAGTCACAAAACATTTCGTTCACATTCTTGCTGAGTGCTCTTTTTGTTATAACAACACTTTTTTAGAGGAAGGAACTTGTAAAGCAAGTAGTCCTTTTACGGCGCATTTATTCTCAGGCTTTTTGTCCAAGATTTTTAGTATTAGATATCGAATTTCCTCATGGATGTATCGAAAAACTCACCTTTTTTAATATTTGGGAAAGTAGGCTGCTCATATTCATCATCGACATCATCATCACTTTCATCGTCAACCCCACTATTGTCAATGCCCGATCCAAAGTCACCACTTCCACTTCCATGGTTACCGTCGCCATGGTCACTGTCGCCATGATCACCTGAACCGAAATCAGCATCATCGTGTTCATCTGGACCAAAAGCACCAGTATCACTACCACCAAAAGCACCACCGCCAACACCACCAAAAGCACCACCACCACCACCACCAAAAGCACCACCGCCACCACCACCAAAAGCACCACCGCCACCACCATGACCACCACCACCAAAAGCACCACCGCCACCGCCACCAAAAGCACCACCGCCACCACCACCAAAAGCACCACCAAAAGCACCACCGCCACCACCACCAAAAGCTCCATCATCATGGCCATCTGGACCAAAAGCACCAGTATCACCATTGCTAAAGTGGCCATTTATTTGGGCGTTGCTAAGGTCTATGGCATCATTGATGGCTGAATCAAACGCGTCAAACGAGTCTTGATCACTGTCGGCGTGGTCATCCTGCCCTTGGACAAACGCCACCAGCAATAAGAAACCCAGCACCGAGCACGTCAACTTATTCATGGCTGAAATTACAACAAAAACATGTCAAACATGAACGTGAATGCATGCTGAGGTTGCAATGGACACTTCTCAATGAGTATTAAGGACATGTCAWCACATACCCACCACTTAAATCTACAAATTTCCTTCCGTCAGGCATTCGACATGAAATCCTTTATTTCAGATAAACGTRAATTCATATGCGACGTGTGGAAAGTTGGACAAATATATTGAGCATTTAAATTTACGCTTGAAGCACGTTATAATCTTGCACTGTCCCAAGCTACATAAAACTATCACAAAGCTATTGTTTATCAGTAATGACAGAAGAGGGGGATGAATTTGGATGTCAGTTTATGTGCAGCATGCAAAGGGAATTTTCCGTCAGAATAAAACGGCGAAACCGTTCAGTTTGTACCGCGTAAACTAGCAAATAACGGCCTGTTGGCAGTGGCGCGCGTCCTCGGCTGCATTTCTGGAGTGTTTTTCAACCTCGCCAAAACGCTACGAAAACGTATCAATCTCCACAAGGTTTAATTAACTCGTAAAATGATAACTTAGCGCAATACGTAGTCGTGAGACTTTCGTTGTTTCACTATTTGATTTACATTGTAAATACTTGTATTGGTTTCACGGTCTTGACACGAGCGAATAGACATGGACGCCATAGAAAACAATTGACCTAGCGATATCTAAGGCTCTCTGTCTTTATAGGCCCTACTAGTTTCTGCAGCCTATGAAAGGCACTAGGCTTTTACGCCCTGAGATATATACCAATATTGTTACCGTTATATAAATTATAACTCACCGTATATTTCTGTCAGTCTGTCCTCATAGAATGAATGATAAGTATTTGAATTAGACGCTGACCTTGGTATATATAACAATACATTATCGTACGATCAGTATCGATTACCGGACGTCATCGCATTTTGTACGCAAGCAGGGTGTGACTTCTCAAATTACCACTAATCCACCTCTAGTGCGTACCGTTTGCAAATCCATGTTGCTAGAATGTTACATAAGAGTCTATATAATTCCATGATCCTATGGATTTGAATGAAGAGTAAAATTTTCTCAACCCTTGTTCAGTAAAAAAGAACAGTTGTACGTGCTTATCGCCTACACTACATCTTTACAATATCAGGAAGGAAGAAGGTGGGCTTTACTCCCCTCGCCCCCAGTCCCCTTCACAGTTTTCATTTCAACACAGGAAATCACATTTTTAACAAATAATCAATCATTTGGTTTTGGATAATGTCTATTATTCTACTTTTATTCACAGTTTGTACAAGTATATTCTAAATATATATGTTTATAACATTCTTGACATACAACTGTAAAATCGAGACCATTGGAATAGCTGAAATTCGGATTCATGGACTAATCCTCAATAATATAATACTCTATTTATATATTGTTGCGTTCGAACTCTTTTGTCAAAGACGCGATGATGTTTTTGTATAAAAACCACGTAAAATTCACGAGACAGGACTGGACTGGAGTTCGGACTGTACGGATCTATTTATTGAAGTCCCATATTCTTATTTTTCCGTCAAAGGATGCGCTGATTATTCTTGTGTCATCAGCTTGGATACAGTTAACAACTTGATTGATTCCTCGTAAAGTCTGAATGCAGTTTCCTCTGTAATGAATAGTAACATAATAAATAATTGATAAATAATTAAGAAAAGACACATAACATGGAATGGGTTTCAA